GTCACAACCAATATTTTTTCCAAAATGTCTCCAATAATGTTCTTCTCCATTATGAACTCTTCTTCAAGTTCAATACCAATTTTCAACTCCCAATGAATTTCTAAAATAGAATTTCAACTTGACATATGATTCTAATAGCATTCCTAACTTGAATTCTCCTTGACGTGCACTTCAATTAGAATTCTTCAATACTTCAAACAAAGAATTCAAGTCACACAATATCTACCTTGACACGAATCCCACCTCAGAATGAACGGCTTCTTCAACAATAACCAAAAAATTAATTTCTCCAACAAAACATAATACTCTACCTCTTACAATGAATCCAATGACTACTCTAGTAGAATTATATCAGATTTCCAAAAATTATAATGATTTTATAATTGATTAAAATGGGCTGTAACACACCCTAGATAGAATTAATACCAAATGCATTTACTGAATGCCCCTTGCTAAATTGAACACATTCCACTCCACTTAAAGCATGCTCAACAAAATCAGCATTCGCATACCTTATTCCACTGGGTCCATCCCTAACAATTGAATACAATGGCACCATAGGTGATGATGGCAAAACAACATTATCCATATCTCCTGAACTCCACGGAGCAGTATTCTTCAAATTCGACAATTTACGAGCTCTTAAGGGTATTGTACCAAACTGAATGTCCACCACGGTACTGAACATGTACTGATTGACTCATCTAGATTCTGTATGACCTACAAGATATATAACTGAGACCTTTTTTGTCCCTCCAATACAACCTGAGCACCCTTACAAACCTTCAAAATTTCACCTCCACCAAAGAACTCATAACCTTTTGAATTAAGGATAGACAATGAGATGAGATTCTTCTTCATATTCGGAACATGTCGAACCTGGTCAAGTGGTCTAATTGTCCCATCTAATAGCTTCAATTTGATTGTACTAATTTCAGCAACCCGACAAGGTGCGTTGTTCTCCATAGCCACAACACCTTTGGAAACAGTGTCATATGTTGTAAATAAGTTATTATTAGGACACATATGAGATACACACACTGAATTCAGAATCTAATCCTCCTCTAATTTAGATTCGATGTCAGAAATAGCTAAGAGATCCCCCCTCATTTACAATGTTTTCTGCGATGTCTATTCCACTTGAAGTCTCTGATTGCTTCCCATATCAACTTGTAGCCAACCTTTCTTTATTCTGCAATTTGTAGCAATCTTTCTTCATGTACCCCTTCTATTTGTAGTAGTTACAAATCTGATTACTAAACTTAGACTTCGATCTATAACTTCTAAAACCACCATGAGAAACCAGGTCTTCTCCATCTCTGGCCTCAGAAACAAATGCTTCATCTTCTCTTTTGATTACAAAGCACCATACACCTCTTTTATGGTGAGAGTATCACAACTATATAAAATCGTGTCTCTAAATGAAGAAAGAGAAATGGGTAACGAACACAATAGGATCAAGGTCAAATCTTGTTCATCATACTTAACTTCCAATGTTTCTAAATCAGCGACGATCTCCTTAAATACATCCAAGTTCGTGTCTCTAAATGAAGAAAACAAACCAGGCAATGAACACAATAGGATCAATGCCAAATCTTCTTCATCATACTCTACTTCCAAAGTTTCCAAATCAGCGACGATCTCTTTAAATACAGTTAGATGATCTTCCAATTGTCCTCCTTCTGTCGTTCGATAAGAGTATAAATGTTGTTTGAAGTTCAACTAGCTTGTCAAACTTTTAGTCATGCACAATTGCTCCAACTTCAACTATAGAGAAGTTGCTGAAACCTCCTTCAAAATGTCCTGAAGAATGTTATTCGATAAATGAAGACGAATGTGAGAAACAACCTTCTTATCCTTCGGTAATTTCTTTTTCGCAGTCAAAGTTGAGGGCATCTTAGGCGAATATTGCACGCATCATCCATATCCTGATGTACGAGTACTGCACGAATCTTAAACTGCCATAACAAAAATCTAGTGCTCCGATCCAAAAACTGAATTTCAAATTTCATGGAAGCCATCATGAACAAAAAATCACGAACAAATCAAGCCCCGCACTCTTGCGGAACTGTTGAACTCGGTGCTCTGATACCATTTGTTACGAAACCAACCACTGAACTGAGATGTTGAATTTATATGGAGAAATATGAAGTATATGATCGCAAGGAAAAGAATAAAAGAAAACAAGAAAATATGGTAAAGGAATGATGAGATTTTATTGCACCAATAATAAGAGAGAAAAATACAATGGATCCTAAAATTCTGATAATCTATTTTTTCATACTATAAAGTTATATAGAAGAGCCTAATATTTATAAAGATCATGTAGGGGATGTCCAAACCCTAATGGTAAAGTTGCTGAAGAAGTAGAATGTCAAAAAATCGAATCCAAAACGAAGTATGAACGAAATACTCGAAAAATCTGCATTAGACAGGCGTGCCATACCCCGGCGCCCAAGGGCTCGCACTAATCTATTCAAAAACAAATCAGGGCACCTAGTCGTGGCCAGTATTTTTTCAAAATGTCTCTAATGATGTTCTTCTTCATTTCGAACTCTTGTTCAAGTTCAATACCAATTTTCATTACGTATATTGAGAATTGAAACAATTTGTCGTAGATGTAGTACATCAATTTCTATCTTCATTGTGATTCCAATGCAAAACCTGTCACATCTAATTGAAATAGTCAACATCAAACTTTAATTATCAGACCAACAAAATCATTATAAATATAATACAGAACGTTCAAAAGGTTTAGCATCAAAATTAGACTTTATTTGATGGGTTTGAAATCAGATTTTTATTAAATTTTGATAAAAGTTGATAAAATGTGTGGTTGAAAAGTCTTGTTCTTATGAAATATTTAGTTAAAATTAATTGTTGATTTTATCTTAAATTAAAATTTAGATTTTATTCCGAGCTTAATGTAAGGCAAGAAACCAAAACAGAAGCAAAAATGAGATTCACATAGAACACAGTTGAACCAACAGGAATGCAGTTCTTTACTCCAACATAGGGCTCAGAAATTTCACAAAGAATATTGTACCCGTCTGTACAAAAGAACAAGCCACAAAGACCCAACCCTAACAAGATTCATACGAAAGCAGCCACTCAATGGACCCAATCTCAAACGCCTATCTAAAACCTACGTAAAACTCAATCGAAGGATTGCACAGATGCACACTATCAAGTTTTGTGATTAAAACCAAGAGTTTTAATCAATTACACAAAGAATCGAAGAAGGAAGAAAAGAGAAGAGAGCACGAAGGAAAAAGGGATCAGAATATTTCTCTCTCTCAATGGCAGAGAACACGAATCAGAAAACCACCGACCATTTTACTTCCCTTAATAAGCCAACAGATCACCATAGATTAGGCACAAGATC